ATATTTCGAGGACATGTTAAGTTCGCCAACACGCACCAAAGAAATGCGGCGGACTAACTGTTTCCTCAAACCCTCTAAAACCTTAAACAGCCTCATAAGTGAATGGACACCTGTGCCTAACATTGCGACGTATAGTATATAGGCTGTAATTATATAACAAATTTTAAAATATAATAATTTAATCTCCTGTAAATCTTTTGAATACAAATATATACATAAAGAAATTCCTATAATAATTTGTCCCTATTACTATTGATAAGATTGTTTTTGAGAAGATTATACATAATTGATTGAACTTTTTATATTGATAAACTAGTTGTTCCCCGCGACTTCGCTTGCGTTACTATTGGATTTCATGGGTTTTAATTTTTTGCGCGGAACCCTAATTCTTTTACTTAAATAAAAGGAGCCTAAGTTACTCCTATAACATCAGCTATCTGCCAGTGAAAATCCCGTCAAAATCGGTCCAGCCGTTTCAGAGATTAGCCGGAACAAACAGACAGACAGAGAGACAGACAAACAAAAGTTTTAAAACTTGTTTTTTTGTTATAAGTACCGTAAATACTTTCATATGCATTTATTAAAAAGCAGTTATTTTGACGTTACAAACAGACACTTCAATTTTATTTATTTGTATAGATGCGTTACCATTATTAGACTTTCTCAGTGTGTGTCTACTAGTCTAAAATGAAACTGTTAAAATTCTGGCTAAATTAGCTTGTTTTATTCAAGAAACTACTTGAAAATTTCTAATTGTTTTACATTTTAAAAATTATGTGCAAATCGTTTCGCTTCTGATATTAATGAACAAGAGTTAATATTCATTTTAATACTTTTGTTTATTACGGAACGTGCATTGAAAATTATATAAAACGAATTTCCGTTGATCGATTGAGTCATCGATTGAGGCACCACATGCTAGAGGAAGCAGCTAACCAAAGTGTTTTAAGATAACGAAAGCAAAATGGGCGCAAGGTTACAGTATTGAACGTCTGATTTACGACTACGAAGTCGTAATAAAGTGCATTGAAAAAATAGAAACATACCAGATGGCAGATGTATCTTGGGTATTCCTACGCACTCACAGTAAGATTCGTTTATGACGGATCACATAGTATGATGAAAGTATCAGAGAAACGCGAGATACTTAGATAAAAAAATTATATACCTACACGCTTTCAGAAACGGTGTGTCAGAAAAGTTAAAGTTTCATTAAGTTTGTTTAAGAAAATATAACCTAATAATCATTATAAATGAGTGAAGCGTAAGCCACGGAGAGTAGCTATGAAGTGAAACTGCGATCACCTTTTGACTGTGAAGCGTTGGAGGATATCATGGCTGCAAGAATTGTTTGTTAGATGTCTAGTAACGACGACGTAACTGGACAGTTTTAGTATGTTTTTTAAAGGATAGGGTGACAAACGAGCACACAGTACACCTGATGGTAAGTGGTTGCTGTGGCCCATAGACATCTACGATCTTCGATTACGAATCAAAATGCAGATGCGTTGTCACCCGTGAGGACTAAAATGGAATGCCTCGTTTCCAGTAAAAAGGGTCTCCAGTTCTCTGCACTCACCATACGAAACATAGGAGCATTAAGCTGCTATTTTACGCTGGTATTCTGTGAGAGCGTGGTCCTTCCCCGGTCGAGCCGGACCATTCGTGCTACAACCATAATATAGCTGCAGCATGGCTCTGCCACGTATAAAAAGTAATATCAAAGGGTTCAAAAGTTTTGAGAATATATTTAAGAAAAAAAGGATAGGAACATAGTAGCGTATCATAAATTGTATCATAATAAATATTTGTTCTAAGTGTCATTATCCAGGGACAAAACATATGTATGGATTAAACGCAATCTGAATATCCTCATAAGGCCAATATTTATTAAGATGCGAGAGGCGTTTCTCGAACAGTGGGCTTTCACGAATTACATCATCATCATCATCATCATCATCATCATTACAGCCTTTCAAAAGTTCACTTTTGAACATAAGTCATCCCTAATTAATTTCCTCATACGCGGATGTTTGCCATAGTTGCCACGCTTGGCAGGTGGGTTGGCAGCCGCAGTTTTTTATTTTCTAGTTGTTTTTGGGAAGACTTTGCTCTCCATCTCCTGGTTTGTTTCCCTCTGCCGCCTCTTACGACATCCACAGAAGATATGGGCGATTATTACAAAAACCTATGGTTTGTAAAATATAACAGTTTTTATGAATAAAAAACTTGTAATATGTAACTAATTATTTTCAATAATGACTTTACATTTTAGAAGAAAAGAATTGGACGTTTTTGTTAACATTGGAACACTACTTTAACGAATATATTCATAAAACCTCACTCATCTAATTCCGACGAGAGTTTAATATCTTTGATCTATTGTTTTGGTTCGTGACCTAGCGACGACGCGTGACAACGGGCCTAGAAGCCGGCTTTCGTTATAAATAAACGCGTGTCTATCACCCGCACCGCTGCGCTGGCTGAGACACTTCTAGCTGACTCACAGGATCTCCACTCACGTACATATCATGTAAATTGCACTAAACGAAAGTTCTTCTTTAATTTAACAGCTGCCGAACGTATGATTGTGTTGTCTTTTTGAAAACAGTAGCTTACCTTAGCACCCTTTATAAATAAAACTAATATTAAACTATAAAAATTCAACTTGGTCATAGTCACCTTATGTCAATATAACGCGGCAAAATACTTTGAGACTTTATTTTTAAATTGGGGATTGTTTTTCAAATTACACACAATAACAGTTTATTATTTTAAAGAGTTTCATCATAAAGTTGATTAAATAATTACTGTCAGGTATCAGTTACAGTGAATTTGATTTTGTTAAGTCTGCAAATTATAGTGTGATAATACATAACTAAGAGATTTATGGTTTTAAACTATATTTTTTTTATAAATTTGAAGTGACCAACGAACTTATAGGCCCCAATAAAAGGAGAGGTGTGACGGAAACCCTTTTTTACTGGAAACAAGGCATTCCATCTTAGTCCTCATGGGTGACAACGCATCTGCATTTTGATTCTTAATCGAGGATAGCTACAAATGTCTATGAGCCACAGCATCCACTTACTATCAGGTGTGCTGTGTACTCGATTGTCACCCTTCTTCTATAAAATACCACCTGATTATATGTAGCTACTGCAGCAAAAATCAAACAAAGAAGGCTACATATGCGTTGTCACCTCGGAGGACTAAGGACTGCTTCACATCATGTAATTATACTGGCTCTCCATACTCATCAGACCAGAAGACAGTAGTACACGCACCGCTGCTTGAGATAAGCAAGAGAGTGGTGCCTACCCAACAGATCCCGAGCCAGAAAAGAAGTCCTACCACCTTGAAGTAAAAAAATTATGAAGTAAAATTTAACGAAAAATCTGGACACAGGCAAAGCCATAAAGTATCAAACGAAACATTTGGAACAGAGCAGAAAACCAAATTAACGTCAAACCAAACAAAACAAATTTCTGTGCACAAAATTAATCCGTTAACTACCTAGTTTTCATAATTAGAAGCTTGAAAAATAGGCCGATGTGAAACTTTGTCGCCAGCTGTCGAACGACGTGACCGATTTATATCCAAGAATACTGTTGTCAGAAAAACTAGATGTATACTACCTATATATAAATTAATTATTAATAAATAAACAACGATTTTAGTATGTGTAATGTGTAAAAGCTTTAACTTCTACAACTCTTCTTCTCATAAGATAGATATCGTTTATGGACCTCAAAGATTTTAAAACGTTACCAGAACACAAACTTTAATTCTTTTGATACGCGAAGAGAAGGCCGAGGAAAATAATGTGACATAAGTTTGCATATTCAAACACATTTACGTACCTACGTGTGTATGTATGAAAGTATTGGGTTTGATGTCAGACTGTTTTTGTACTATTTTTTCTTCTTTATGTAACTGTTTAAAGACTACCTTTGAACTACCATGGGCGCATAAGCTAATTTGAGTTAAACGACAATGTTTACATCGACTGCAGCGGTTTATGTCGGCGCAATTACAAAGGGCGTACCCTCGTGACGATGAGCGGTGTGGCGAGGTCCGCGCCGCCCACCAGCCGCAGGCCCCAGTTGATGTCGCGGCGTTCCCGCCTCAGCGTAACAACAAATGTATGCAGGCGTCCCATTTTGAAAGGGAATATTGCACTGCGCGACACGCGCGCTACATGCGCGGACGGTGCGACCGCGGCGGTTAGACGCGACGTTGTGTGCACAAAATTAACCTCACCGCGAACTCCTCCACCGCCCCTCCCCGCAAGGTTCTCATAACCCTGCCTTCGCAATCGACCTAATTCATTTTACGGGAACTGAACGCCATTAACAACCAAATTTTCCAACAGCCTATGCAATTTCCTGTCGACTTGTACGCATTCAGCTTTTAGAACCGATAGTTACGAATATTCTGTACTATTTATTGCTTTTATATTCCGTACGATCCTGGTATTCACTTGAGGCCAATGCTTACGAGGCGTTTGTACTATACGTCATACTTTTTCATCATACCCTGTTTTCAACGTATAGCTGAAATCAACATTAGAGAAAGCGCATTAGAGTTATTACATCCTTTAATGCTCTTGGCGAAAGTTCATATGTTGAAAGATACGTTTGCATTGACTATACTGAAATAGAACATTAATATTGAATTTAAGGGCAAAGTGACGTACTAGCCATTTGGCAGGCCGTGAATTACGTGGGCTGAGCGTATGATCTATTGCTTTCTACGTGCAATAGTCGTGAGACGATTAGAAGCTGACAAATGTTATGGCACTGATTGGTATTATAATTAGATCATTACCACAGATTAAATAATGTTACTACGTCATCATTACTTTCAATTTCTTTGATGATTGTACGACTGATTTGTAGAGGTTTAATTTAAAACTTTGTAACATTTAAAGCCATTAAGTGTACATACTTAGAACATATTTTTTTTTTTACTAAAATAGTTGTGCTAAAAAAACTTACAGGTTTCCGGCGGAAATTTCTCGGTTCATCGTCAGGATCTGGTCTCTGATGTGGGACTCTCCAGAAAGCAGGTCGCTGGTACATAGGCATTGTCGGGAAGGTTTATATCTGGACTACTAACTGTACAGGAATAATGTTTTCGGTTAGATTAGTTTTACCAAGCAATTTTTTTTTAAATATAAGTACTTTATTTTCGTTAATAAAATATTGGTATGAAAACAAATATTATTTATTTAGTGGAACGTTACGACGATGTTTTTATGCGTGGATTGAACAAAATAGTTATAAAAACATGTTTATCTTAGTTACTTAGTGATGCAAAGGAATATTAAGAAGTCGTAGGTGGTTGGCAACTAAGTTTACGTAATAAATCAACGTTTCCGCCGAACAAGGACGTTGGGGCAAATATGAAATGGTTTAATGCACGTAAAATATGAGTGGGGGGCTTGGGAAACGGTAACTCACCAGAGGGCGCGCGTTGTGTCTCTGTCGGCGTCGCTGCTCGTGTGCGTTTGTATTATCTTGAATTATTCGCAGCGATATCGAATTAAGTCTATTTTTCGCGGCGAGGATGGCGGCAAACGAAACGTCGCTTCGACGGGCTGTACTTCGAGTGATTTACACGCGTACACAGACAGCGTCCGCTGTTTCTGGGCCAAACTGAAATTCGCAATAATTCGTCCGCTTCGGACTGTTGGAGCCAAAGCGGTTCATTGCTCCCAATTCTTTTTGATTTTCATGACTACTTAGCCTTATACCGAGATTATTTGTTGCTTTAAATTATTGTAATAATAAGCGTCGTTCAATTCCAACATAACCATTGTCTTTTCGTACTGTTTGTTGCGCCTACCTAGTTATTGTCTAAGGCGTTTAATGTTATTACAACTATAATCTTCGCCTTTAAATACGGAGGATATAACGACCGCTTTGTTGCATTGTCTATGTTTATAAACAACATTTTTTTTAAATAAGCAATCAAATTATATAGTTGAAATAATTTAAAAAGAAATAATGAATGAACTTAAGCAACATAGAAGAAAAGAAGGTTTACAACGATAATTCAATAAAAAAGCAAAATATAGTACAAAATAATAATTTATTTTAAAGTTTTAATAAGAGCAGAATAAATATTTATGAAACAAAATAAGTAAAAAAATAACAATAATATACAAGAAAGAAAAGAGTACTTATCTTAAAATTAAAGAAATAATCTATTGTCGAAAAATTGTGAATCATTTACACACTAAATGTTCTATTAGTATAATAACATTCCGTTTTTGCAGCAAGTTTTTGGAAACACACTTGTAGACATTTTTCTTCCAGTAAAATACCATAACACCGTCCAAGTTTAATCGATTATTCGTAAGTTCTTATACAATGAAATTATTAAATTTCACATTCTAGATTGTCAAATGTAATAAAGTAGGGAAAAATTGTGTATTTACAAAAATATATACAGGGTCATTTTGCAATAACCGGCCAAATTTGCATAGAAGGTTCACAATAAGTAATATAGGCAAATGGTAAAGAAAAATTAATTTAAAAAATCTCAAACATTTTGTCCTTTTTATATTTTAAATTCAAAATGCGTGGTAATGCATTATTTTAACTGACTTTACTGCGCAAGCACACATTCATAAGGGTCGATCGATAGGAAAAAACGTTGTTGCCCAAATCACATTCAATTTAGGAAATTATTAAATAACAGCAGAAGCCTTATTTACTGGTATTTTCAAATATTTCAACTTAAGTTTAGAATTTGGCTACTCTTTGAAAAATAACCCTGTATGCTTTTAAAAAATGAACAAAACAAGCTTTTTCTAAAGCTGTGTCCACATATACATTTTTACGTGTACAAAATTAAGCACACAGTAGCATGGACGGTTTCCCAAGCACAGGTTAACAGATATTTATTGGAAAATATTATAGTATAATATAGCAAACGCAAATTCAATGAAACTATACAAAAATTAAATTAGCGTAAGAAATACGAATAAATATGTTTGTTATCGTTATGTAATAAGAAAGAAAATAAATACAAAAAATAAGTTGTATTGATTTATTAATGATGCACAAAATAATGAAGTTTAATGCTTATATGTTGTCTACTTAAATATCACTGCGCTTTTGCAGCATTTGGTTCAGAAATAAAAGACCCTTTATTGTTTAATGTCCGCCTTCTATATAAAAAAAAAGTTTCGTTTACCCTTCGTATATTCCTTATTATATATTATGGATCGTAGAAGAGAACGAAACGTTTTTCGAGTATGGGATTCACACATAAAAATAATAAGAACTCGTTTCAATAAAAAATAGACGGAGGCTTAAGGTCTTAGGGTTAGATAATTTAGGGTACGCCATGGAAAACAATGTAATGAAAAGCTTAAGTTTTTTTTAGTTAACGTTAAAATTAGTCATTTATGAATCTCAGAAGTGACACAATCACAATACAGGGATGTGAGATTCAATAACAAGAATATATTATTGTACACTATTCTCAGAACGCCTTAGATTTAAAAAAAATTGACTTATACATAAAAATGACTTATAAAATAGTAAATTTTATTCTAATGACTGTTTCATAATTTTATACTAATTAGATTTTTTTTAAATAACTAATTGGTAATTATGGGAAAATAATAATATAGCCTCTAGAAACTGTTTTTGTGTTACAATTAAAGCATATTTCATATAATTTAATTTCATTCAGTTAAATAGACTTACGCATATCTTGCATTAAAATAACTATAAAGGTAAAAAACAATTGTAAAATAGATCTTAAACAATAAAAAATTGAGCCTGAATCAAATGACCAGCACACACAATTCCAATTGTGGCAATGTTTTGATAATCTACACAATATTAATTACAAACTTAAAAGTCAAGGAGGGCGGGTTTTGTGTCTCTGGCGCATTTGATCAGCGAATACATGAGTTTGACAAAGCCGGTGTCCTTGGGCTTCTCGAGTCCCCGAAGTAACCTGTTCTTCATGACCGCAACAAACTCGCGGTTGCTGAGCTGACCGTCCACTGGAAATAAGTAATTTAGTCAGTGGTAACTTGTGGTGTCTTATCGATAACCTGATCTCAGAAGTAGTAGAACTAAATAAAGAAAGTAACATCAAGAAATGAAGCAGACTTTTATTTTGTCATTTTTTTGTCACTTGTAATTTACACTTGTGAACAATCAGAACGGGTCGATAAATTAGTTCTTAATATCTCCGTAAATATAAACGCTAGCTTCGTAAATGTACGAAATTAAAAAAAATAAGCTGACTTATTAAAAGTTAAAAAAGTAAAAATTGAAGCCTATATACATCCCACGGGTTGGCACAGATTTCCTCTTATTTCTGAGAGGGTTTTAGGGCAAGGAAATGACCGCCGCGCTCCCCCAATGCGTGTTGGCGAACTTCACATGTCTAAGAAATATATTTTTTTCTTATTTATCAGACATGCAGGTTTCCTCACGATGTTTTCCTTCACCGCCGTGAACGTGGTAAATCAAAATCGTCGTGTTACTCGCGTATTTTTATACGTGGTAGAGCCATGCTGCAGCTATATTTCTGGTATAGTTGTAACACGAATGGGTCAGCTCGACCGGAGAAGGGCCACGCTCTCACAAAATACCAGCGTAAAATAGCAGCTTCACGCTGCTGTTTCGTATGGTGAGTATAGATAACCGGAGACCCTTTTTACTGAAAATGAGGCATTCTATCTTAGTTCTCACGGGTGACAACGCATCTGCATTTTGATTTGTAATCGAGAATAGATGTAGATGTCTATGGGCCACAGCAACCACTTACCATCAGGCGGACTGTGCTCGTTTGTCACCCTTATCCTATAAAAAAAATATTAATCATTTGCTTGGTGTGAAAACGTTTGCAACAGATAAAATGACATACCTTCGGCGTTTTGAACTATTTATTTCTGATAATATCATGGATAAGATCCTGAATTGTACTTATACTAACTACCTGTACAAAGTATCAGTAATCCTCAAAAATCTTAAACAGCAAAACACACAACTGGAAATAAAAGCAGTTTTTGGATTACTTTTTTATCAGGTTTGACATTAATAAGCGCCGCCAGCTTTCGAGAGAAGTCGTGAGACAAATATATAATTGTTTGGATTTCAAAAGGGTATAACCATAATATCCTATGTACCGAAACCGAGTAAAATGGTATATATGATGTGTTCATTGCATCAAGACGACAAGAAAAAATTGATCCTTCAACGGGGTGCTAACAAAACCCTCTGTAATAAAAGTCAATATTTTATTAGCCAAGTGGGCATTCCTTTAGTAAAAGATCATTTGAATACAAGAAGACAGAACAAAACGCTTCCAAAAAACGTGCGCAGTAGAATAGATAGATATATTTAAATACACCTGATTGCGGCTAGAAATAACTTATATATAAAATGAGTTTAATTATTTTTCTATGATTTTCCAAATAAAAATGTATTTTAATTAAAGCCACAGAAGAAAACATAAATTTTTGGGAATATCAAATGACTTTAAGCATTTTACACTATTCAAGTGTTGCCATTTACTACATTCGTACTATTTTCGTATACACTTTGTAAAACTACCAACACAACATACAAACACAAAATATTTTAAATTATAGGAAGTTATTATTAGTAAGAACTATACTATCAGTAATAATAAAAATAAAAGTGATATGGTTGAAAATAAGTCTCTCTAGTCTACTATGTAACAATTCCATTTAATGTTGTGGCAACACTAGCTAAAACGAAATGTCACTGTATGGCACAAAGGCCCAGAAGCCATGCCAGAAATATACATTTATAGTACGCAAATATTTAATTGAGATATAATAATCTAAAACTCTCAATTATGTAGGTAGATACCATGAAGCAAATACAAAGAGGAGACGGCATAAGCAACTGTGCACTGTGATTCTAAGTGGGTCCTGACGTGATCATAGTGGGCGTGGCTTTAGTTAGTATACTGTCAGCATTCGTCTTGTGCGCTTATGTGTTGAAAATCGCAAATCGGTGTATTTTTGTAGTATTAAGAAGAAAAGGATGAAGTGTTGTGTTTTATCGTTTAAAAACTACTCAGATAGACGTTGGTGTTGAAATTTGTTTTGCATTCAGACAAAGAAATTTTAGTCGCCAAAATATTATCTTTATAGTTTATAATAATTTTGTGAACAGGCCGCCATCTATCGGCAAGATAGCTAAACTATATTGCAGCATCGATATGGAACGATTCGAGTAGTTTTACTATTTATCGGTAGATGTAGATAGTGTAAAGTGGGCGGGGCTTAACATCCCCTCATCCCGCAACTTGTCACGCGTTGTTACATAGTGAAATCTAATTACAACACCTCCTCTTTGTATTTGCTTCATGGTAGGTACATTATGTTGAGAATGTATTAAGCTAAAATCAAACAACCACAGGACGCATTACTTTTTCCGAGTGACCTAAGACATAACCTAAAAAGGTTCAAATCTAAATATCTTTTTTTTGACGCCTTCTCAGGACAAAATTCTTTGACAAAGTTTCTCAGTGACTGACCTTAAGGTGGCACAAGTCGCGGGCTCGAACTCGCTGGTGGGCGCGGCCAAAAAGCACGCTGTCTCACCTGGCATCGTGCCCGACAGAGATAGTATCAGTGATGAGCATATCGACACTAGTATTCACGCATGTCTTGTTCGTACGGTGTTCCGAACCGTTAGAATAAAAACGAAGTTACACGAACACGATGCAACATCTATACTAATATAATAAAGCAGAAGAGGGTTTTTGTTTGTTTAAACGTGCTAATCTCTGGAACTACCAGTCCGATTTGAAAAATCTTTTTTTGGATATTATAGCCAGATTCATGTTGAATAGTATAGGCTATACAGCATTAGGCTATATATCTCAGCTAGCCTATATTTGTTAAGGAAGTCAGAAGAAAAAGCGCTGTTATGGTTCGGGATACGTAAATACAATGCTCTAGAAAAATATAGATCTTTACTCCGTCTAAAAAAAGTCCGTGATACCATATGTCTATTTCTTATATATAAGCCACAATTAGGCATTTTGTGACAAAAAAATGAAAATTTAATTATTAGGCACCTTACGAACCAAAGTTACTTCATTATCAAGACAATTTTATGAAGATAAACTTCTTTCTTTATACCATGTTTATATAGTACATAGTTTAAGAGATAATGTAAAATTAAAATAATTCAATACCTGCTTGGCTTGACGCGCAAACAACGCATAACCCCTAGCCCGGTGCGAACTGAGAAGCCAGTATTGAAAGCTTCTATGAGCGAGGTTAGGTTAGCCGTTAGTTCAATCGTTATCTATATATACACAAATAAATAAAATTGAAGTGTCTGTTTGTAATGTCAAAATAACAGCTTTTTACTAATTGCGTATGAAACTGTATACGGTACTTATAACATTAACACAATTTTTAACATTTTTGTATGTCTGTCAGTCTGTTTGTTGCGGTTAATTTCCAAAACGGCTGGACCGACTTGGGCGGGACTTTCACTAGTAGATAGCTCATGTTATAAGAAGTAACTTAGCCTGCTTAAATTTTAGAAAAATTATTAGGTGTCTTTGCAACAATATTAACGCCCTAAACTAAACGCGGACGAAGTCGCGGGGTACAGCTAGTAGCTAAAATAAATTCAAAATTAATTGAGTACTTTTATCTATCTCCCGGGTGAGCGTAGCAATTATTAGTTACATCTTTATTTCTGAACTCTTTCATTTCACGTTGCTATGGTATTTTGAAAGTTTAAATTTAATTAATAAGTATAAGAGGTTGATAGCAAATTTATCAAGAATCATTTCTTGCCTACACACTTTTCATGAATCGTGTACGTTTTTCTTTAAAACTGGAAAAAACCGCGCATAATATGCCGACAGATAAAATAAAAGTACTCCATTAATCATGACAATTTTTCCATACATTACAATCAAATAAAATATTTGATTGCAATTATAAAATGCTTGAACTAGGTGTCATGTCATGCCACGCATCTCGGACACGTGATGACGCGGGTGAAACCGCGAAATTATTATACGTCTGTGGCTCTATATACCTAATATAGATTGCTTATTTTATTATGTTTAGTTTTCCCCGAGTGGTCATGCAGCAATCACTCAAGAGTTCGGCTTCGAACGTGTGTAACTCGATAATTATCCCACGGCAACGAAATACCTGAATAAACGGTATCATATATGATATTTGGCAGCTCCGTGGCGCAGTGGCTTAGCAATGAATTGTTGTACTGGGAGCCGCGGGTTCGAATCAATCGAACAAGTATTTGTATGGTCTACAAATAATTGTTCCGGGTCTGGATGTTTGTAAACTGCCTCCACGATACAGGAGAAAATCCTAGTGTGGGGTAACGTTTTTTTGAAAAAAAAAATTCCGGACTATAGCCTATCTCTGAGCAAAATATCATCCAGATCCCTTCAGCCGTTCTGGCGTGATTGAGTAACATACATCCATTCATCCGTCCATCCAAATATCCAAACTTTCGCATTTATAATATTTAGATAATAATCGTAATTGGTCTGCCTACCTATAAATTGTTTTCAAAAATACTTACTTACCTGGCTTCTTATTTTTTTATATATACTCAATATCACTAAACGTAAACACAGGTTTTTATCAAGACAAGTGACCCATCAAGATTGTTTTCTTAGTACCGACGTACCTACCTAAAGTTTACAATTTTGTGGCCACGACGCGGCGAGGTTTTGTGACATTTTGTTGTATTGTTAATTGTAGGTATCTAGGTAATAACAGTAGGTACCTATGAAAATCCCACATAATATACTTTGTTTATCCGCCGCAAAAGTCGTCTAATAAATAATTAAACTGTTTTGTAATTCTTTATTTATTTATAACACTTGCATTGAGAGCCGTGGTAGCTCAGATGGTTAGCGCTCGCTGTAAGTATCACATTACGCGAGCAACCCGGGTTCGATCCCCGTCGGCACCAATGAAATTGTTGCAATTTTATATAGTAATCGAATATAGACTTTACT